ACACACACATATTTATTTCAGACATAATATCACCATTACATTGCCCCACCCACCGCTTTAAAGAAAGCCTCCGACAACCATAAAATCTCCAACTCATTTTTGTTTACATTTAGTGCTCATCAGCCAATTTTTTGAAACTCTCAAATATCCGTATTGGTATGGGCCTCAAAAATCCAGTATTTGCCAGGCTATAAATCTTACATCATCAGATTAGAAACACTTCAAATGCAGAGATAAAAACAAAACAAAACAAAAAACTCACATATTTATTTTCAAACTTTTTTGCCAGGGCCTCAACCTGGAGCCGCTCTCTCTCGTCATCGTTGAAGGGGTCATTGGGAGTGTGGGCTGGAGTCAGACTTGGAGGATTCTTTGCCTGGAAAACAAATGTGAAAATTATGAATATTATTAACATCAAGATTAGGTCACAGGAATAATCAGATTTCAAAACTTGGATTAGACAGTGTCAGACCACCCTTACACAAAAACACAACATGACTCTGTGCTCAAACCTCTGAAAAAAAGGAAAATCCAGTTGGTAAAATATCAATACATTATCATAATATTACCTGCAAACTTAAAATAACTGAATAAAAAAACATACAGTTTGCCAAACATGGTGCTGGCATGATCACCTTTTAGATCCAAATAATAATTATTCAATTCAGCTGTGGTTTGCAAACTTTTTCCCACCAATCTCCAACTCATGTAAAACATAATTGCAAAAACTGGATCATCCCAAACTGCAGAGTATCAAAATGAGGCGAGCTTCTCTTTGATCTCACAGCTCTGACATTTGCCTTGCTCCCATGCTACATCCTGGTACTTCCATCAGCAATGCTCTATCATCTATCTATCACCCGCAGCCAGAGGGCCAAACTGCATGTGGCATTTCCAAGTGCTGTAATGGCTGTGTGACTGGGCTGTTGCTGGGCAAGTCTGAGTGAACAGGACACAGGTAGCAGCACGAGATAAGCTATATCTCTACATGTTCAGAAAGAGGAGGTCCCTCGATATAGAGCTACAATCTGGCAGCAGAGCGCAGCTGAAGTTGGAAAGCACGCAGAGTGGACTGGCTGAGCTGCGTGCTCAAAAAAACTGCTGCTGTCTTTTGTGTTGAGTCGCACTAATGGTCAGTTTCAGCCACGCTAGTCCACAGAAGGACAAGGTGCACTTCCCCCCTCTCACTTAGCAATGACAAGTCCTCACAAACACTTCCAAGAGCAAATAAAATTAACTCCAGCTCCAGTCTCACCCGGCCTGGTAGTGTTAGTCAAACTGGGATACCCTACCTGGAGGTTCTGGATGAGTTCGCCGTAATTAAACTCGGCGGAGGAGCGGTCGTCAGGCTCCGGTAGGGACAGGTTGAGCCGCACCGTCACCCTCTTCTCGGCTCCAGCCGTGTCCCTGTCGCCGGTTTTGCCGAGGCGACCGTTGCTGGCAGCACCCCCTGCCCCGGTCGCTGCCTCGACCTCCCCGGCTCTACCGAAGTTGAAGTCGGCCTCATCCTCCAGCCGGCGTTTCCTGGACTCCGCGGCTGCTCCAGCTGCGAAGGCCGAGAGGGTGACAAATTGCACTTTTCTCGGTTCGGCCATTTGGATGAGCTGCCTGCCTGAACCTCGCTCCGGACAGACAGCGACAGCGAGGAGAAGAGCTACTTCGCGAAACTACTCCAAATTGGTGGATTGAAGAAGGTTTCGCGAAGCTCCGACGGCTGCTCAGTGCCTAGACGGATGTCAGGGCCTCCTCCGCACCATACGAATTGAACTCCAGGGGATGCGACGGTCGGGGAAAAGTTGTTTTTTCGGCAGCTACTTGCATCCTCAATTTGCTATGGGACCGACACATTCACAGGAGCCATCTTGGGTTTTCGGGAGTAAATAAAATATCAGAAGAGAGGGGTCGCTGCGCCTGCGCGTACGCACAAAACGGAAGCACCGTGACACGGGGGTCGTCACGTCCAATCACCGCGTGCCCCGATCCTAAACCCGCCTCTGTCACAACAGGCGATAATAACAACACTGTCAGTACTATGATGACCTTTATAAAGTGTCTGAGTGAAGGACAGGCTTCGGCGTACACACACCACATGTGTGTGGCCACGCATCGATTGGCAGCTTCGGCTCTGGTTCAGGATCGATAGCTTTCAGCTGAAGCCTGTCTTTGTGTCTATTCAAGAAAATGCTGAATTGTGCATTTTTCTACAATGGCACCAGCGCACACTCAAACATCAAATCCGAAACGGAAGAAAGCAAGCCAGATGGTTGGCTGTCTCAGTTAACCAGCCCAACACAGCTGAGTTAGTTACAGCAACTGCTGACCACCTGTTGATATTCACTTTAAGAGTAACAGACATGCCCCTTATTACCTTAAATTAATTAACTGAAAAGTGAAATTGATGCTTGTGCTTTCTGTACTTCTGTGGTTAAACCATGGCTGGATTAACCTGTTAGGAAGCCCCAGGGCAAAATTTGGTTTTGGGCCCCCATTATCCCCCCTGTGCAATGTGGCCAAATTTGCAATTTGAAAAACACTTCCCAGATTCAAAATGCCTTTTTTTACGTGAAAACGTGACCCAAAACAACCTATTCGTTGCCCATTTTCAAGTGCATCACAGCCAACATTAATAAGGAGTGAGACAGACATCATAGCTGATCAAATAATTATTTCATGGCCAGGGTGTTGTCTGACAAAATTAATATATGAACAGAGATAAATGACAACAGCTGGGCTGCGTGATCAGCTATATCAATGTTTAAAATGCATAATAACTCAAAAAGTTAGATGACAGAGAGTTACCTTTTTAACTTTACAGCCACACAGTCCCTGCCTGTGACTAGGTTACACACACACTCAGCAATGGTAAAGCATGTTACTCCACCGGTCTGTCTGCCTGCTCTCTGTGGTCACCTAGACTGTTTTTATATAGTCACCATATAGCTGTAATTTACATATTTTCTATTTCTGTTTTCAGTCAGCTGAATGTGTATAACATACTTATTTAACTGCAGCTAATGAACCCCACGTTAACCACCATTCCCACGCTACTGCCCTGCATTGCAAGATTCTTAGTTTATAATTGCACCGTCTGTCTGTGAAAATCAACATAAATCCAGGTTAATAGGAACAGCTTAGCTGTGTATTCTGCTATGTTGGCGTTTAAAATTAACAACTACAGAGACAGTTATAGACAACTAGGATTTTCTTAACTGTTCCAGCACTTTAGCACACTGCCCCTGACCCTGACTGGGCTAGCTCATCGTTTTGGAAAAGCACCGTTGTGAAGAAAGAAAAATGCTGTTACTGTCTTGAAGGAGGGCTGATATGGAGAGAAAAAGGTGCATTTACAAATTAAACCATCTTAATGTGGACACTCTGCCTGTAAAAATAATCCTAATGATGTCATCATGGTCAGTTTGGCCTTAAAGTTTGAGAGGTAAAGGTATTTAAACAGACAGGTAAGGTTTAATGCAAGATAGTACTGAGTTGCATTGTGTGAGTTGTAGGATCCAGTATTTTTGAAGCTTGACTTAAATTAGCAACTAAAACGCAAGATTTCTCAGCCTCAGCCGCTGTGTTTGGAGCCATTGTTGTTTTAAACTGTCTTTGTAAAATCATTAACTTTATGGAAGAGTAACACTAAAGAAATGGAGTACATATTAAATTTTGTTATACTAACAGGAAATCGTACATTTCATGTGCCAATGCATGTGAAACCGCAACGCTGACATGACATTGCCAAATTTATTCCACAAGGACAAAAGCAAAAATGTTTTCCAGAGAGTTCCTTATTAATATTCATTAATTACTTTTGTTAGTTTATGGCGCTGCCTCACCACCATCCACATTTTATTCTTGTTTCGTAGCTGTTAGCAGCCTCTCATGTTTCTTTGTGCAATTCAAAGCCTAAAGTAGGACAATAGTGTCTTTCAATAGCACACAAAAAAATCAGGCACTGTATATTTTGGATAATGACTTACAGTATATTGTTACAGTACTTTTCCACTGTCACCACACTACATACTCACACCTGCTCAGAGTTGCTGTAGGATGTAGTGTAATTGGTACACAGCTCCAGTGTACATTATTCTGTGTGTAGAAGTTTAAATTGAAGATGAATCCTTACATTTTCTTTTATTCTGCAAAATTAACTGTTGAAAATTTGTCATTTGTTAACTTATTCATATCTATGAAAAAAGAACTAAAATCTGATGTCAGAATCTTTAGCTTTAGTATTCTTGTACAAGTAAATACCATTGCAAATACATACATTTATTTTGCTGTTGAAAATCCTAATAATTTTTTTGTCTTGCCTTTGTCTTTTTTTGTTTTCCTCTTTTTTTATGCAAATGATTGATTGTATTTTAGTATTGCTTAAAAAAGTGGAGGATAAAACTGCATGACATCAGTTATTGTTCTGAAATTCAAAGTAATCACTCATATAAATGCAAAAGTCTTTTAGAAAATACATATTCATTTTAATACAAATATACCAGTACATAGAGAACTGCAGTTTAAAACTTACATATTTTCACAGCTGTGAGGCAGAGATAACAGCTCCATATTTCTTCATGGGGCAGAGATATCATTCGACTTAATTAAGTATAATGACCAAATGCAATATAATGACTGCTGATGTCTGCATAATGTAACTACTGTTGATGTAGTGAGCTGAAGTTAAGCGCCCAAAGCTGTCATGAGAGGAGGACTCTGTTGTCTTTGGCCCACTTCCTCAGAGCTCGGATGATGTATTCAACCTGGGGGTTTCCTGAATTTCGCAGCAGAGACAACACCTCTTTGAGCGTCTCCCTAGAACACAAACAGGAAATGTGAGGAAATAAGATTAGATCAAGAATGCACCATCTCTCATGTTTCTTTCATTTAGACTCAAACAGAACACAGAAGTTTGATATGTCAGCCCAGGTGTTATTCACTTTTCCTGGGTAATGGCAGGAATCTCTTTGACAAATGATATTCCGCAACTAAACAAACATAGAGAACAATGGTATATGTGTGATGATGAAATCACAGCATCGCACAGGAAAAAAAGAGACAAACATACTTGGGCTCCTTGTTTGCCAGTATGAGCTGGAAGATGCCAACACACGCCCCTCTCTTGCCCTCCCAGTAGTTGGATCCTGGGTCCAGTTTCTCCAGTGCATCAAACGCTTTAGCTGCATAGTAGAACTGACCCATCTGAAAGAACAGGCTGTGATCATGAGCACTAGTATGCAACATATGGGGGCACATATTAAACTGCCACTTTACCAAATGAGCATTTAGTCTGTGACTCACACTTTTGGGTGCATTTCAAAAGACACAGTGAGAAAACTTGAAGGCATTGTGATGGACAACACCTCGAGCAACATAACCACAGCTTGGATAAAATGTGCTTATGCAAGATGTGGAAATAATGACAGAGCCCAAACTGAGATGTATGACATAAATACCACAAAAATGGAAGGTGGAGAATAAAATGTGCAATTTCTCCATTTGGGAATCAAGCTTACGTACATATTTGACATATTTGAGTTCAGGAAACAGGAATACTTCCGAGTTTTGTAGCACAAAACTGAAGGAAAGCAATAAATGATGGTATTTTAATGGAGAAAGATTCAGGTGAAGACATTAGTGCAATGGTGCTTAATAGAGCTGAAGTGATTGGTTGACTGAAAGAAAAGTTAACAGCCACTATTTTGATAAATTATTGATCATTTGAGTCACTTTTCAAGCCAAAAATTGGTGGTGCCAGCAGGTTAAATCAGAGAATATTCTGCTTTTCTCAATTTGATATGATTATAAACTGAATACTGTTAGGATTGGGACTGTTGGTCGGACAAAACAAAACATGTGAAGATGTGACCTTGGGCTCTGGGAAGTAGTGATGGAGAGTTTTACAGACCAAACAATAATCAATCAATTGAGAAAATAAGCTGCAGATTAACCAGTAACGGACACAATCATTAGTTGCAGTCCTTCACAGGAAAATAAATGGCAAATAAACATTCATACTAGGGCTGCACGTAAATACCTGTTTTTTAAAGAATTCTGAAAAATGTCAGTCATAGTTTCCCAGAACCCAAGAAGAAGACTCAAGAATGAGTTATATTTCATGCGCAATAATATAAAACAGTGAAACTCACACAGAACCAGAGAATGTTGCGGTGTTACTGCTTGAATTATAACTCAAACAATTAATTGATTATTAAAACTGTTAGCGATTAATTTTCTGTCCATCCACTCAGCAATTAATTGACTAATTGCTTCAGCAATAATTCATACATTTATACATGTATTCCCATGTAAGTGGTCACCATGGATGATTCACAAGGCAGAAAACAGAGGATGATGTCACCTTGTAGCAGTCGTTGGCAATAAGTTGCAGCAGACTGAAGGAATCGGAGGATGTGCCCATCTTCAGATAGAGCTCCCAGGCAAGCCGACCCCTCTGGTTCATTATGTCTGACAGGAACAAGACGAGCGTACAATAATCTATCATTCACAGGCAGTTTCAGCAACTTTTATAGATTCAGATTTTGAAAATATTAAACCCCTGCAGGCAGGTTTCATTGATGTGGATTAAATCAAGAAAGGGAGAGAAATCTTTTAATGGAGATATCCATTTCTTAGAGCTGCTGAGCGTAACACCGGCTGAGTGCAAGAGCGAACCTAAATTCTTTACAGACCTGAGGCTAAAAAATCTGGCAGTGATGTTTGATTCAGATCTCAGCCTCAGCGAACAGTATAAAGGCTTCCTCAGTCTTGCTTTCTCCAACTCAAGGCCTCTGAGAGCATTCTCCGTGCTTTTATGTCATCAGGTGTAGACTACTGTGACTTTTTTTATGTATGCCTAAAAAAGGCCTCTC